TCCGGTCTTGTCTCAGTGCTGTGACTTGTTTGCAGTGCTGCTCTTACGGTGGTCGTGTGAGCTGGGAGTAGTATTCTCAGGTACTCGGGCTGCATGTGCTTAGGGTCACCTTCCCTGAGTGCCCTGTAAGTACCGCCCTTGGGGCTTGGGGTTGCCTTCCACAAGTCACCTTGGGTCTACCACTGTTGGCTTTTTGCTGCTTGGCGCTTGGCCGCCCCGAGGGTTTGGGGGTTTCACTCCCTTGTTTACCTTGGGGTAAGTGGTAGTCATCGCACTGGTGGGGCGCAGGGTACTGCGTAGCTAGTTTTCACCTATGACAGCGGCCGGCTCTGTTCCCTCTGGGTACGTTGTCCACTTGTGTGTTTTTTTCTTTTATTTTTGTTTTTGCCTGGTAGGGGGGTCTTCCTTGTGTTTCCCCCCCCCTTATATTAGGTTCGTTTGTGTGGTGGCACCCCCTGCTTTGCCCTCGCGAGTGGACACGTCCCGTGGGTTCAGCTTTAGCAGTTTGCTTGGTAGTTTGGGGTGCCGGTTAGCAGTACCCTGCCTGGGATAACCCTTAGCAGACCCAGTCTAGGGTCCCTGGGAAACCCCCCGGGGGCTCTCGGGTCCGATAGTGGAGACCCTTGCGTCCCCTCTCGCTTTGTGCGAGTTGAGGGTTGCTCTGTCCCTTTGTCTCAGGGTGACTCTCCTTGTTTTTGCCTCCGTCATGCTGCCTGTTGGGTCGGTGACACATTCGACCCTTGAGTCCTGGGAGCTTTGTTGCTTGTTCGTGACTCCATTCACCCAGTTTGCTGATGAATTCCCGTGGGTGCAGGCAGCTCGCGCGTTGCAGGGTAGGATGTTGCAACGCGCTCAGGTTTGTCGCTTCCGCAGACGCCCCGATGCTGCCCCGCTTGTGTAGGGACCCAGACTTGGGTGGTTTTGGTCGATTCAGCCTTGGTTCCTTCCACGCCCCCCTTGTTTTTCCCCCTCCTGCTTCCGGCCCCTACGCATCTGCAGGCTTCGGGGTCAGGGCGGGGTTAGAGGTTCTGAGATTTGGGAAGTTTCGGGGGTTGCCCTGTCCGGGGTAGCTGCGGAGGCATTCGAGTCTGTTCCTCCGGCCGATGCTCCGGGGTTTTGACCAGTGGGCCCCCTTCTCTTTCAGCTCTCTCGGCTGCCCCTGCTTTTTCTTGTGAGGCCGGGGCTTTGGAGGTCGACTCGGCCCCGGGCCTGGTGCAGAGGCTCCTGGGGTTGGGGAGGAGCGGCCTTGGGGGCCTTGGGCTCCATTGCGCCCCGCCTGGATTTCCGTCCTTCTGAGCGGGGCTTACTGTTACGAGGAGTGGGGTTTTCTTTCCCCCCTCTGAGTACGATTTGGGCTTGGGTTCTGCTCCTCCCCGGGTTCGGTTCCGTGTCCCTGTGGTTTCTTCGGTTCCATCTTCAGGAGGTTTTTGGCTAACCGCATCTCTTCGCCTGCGGTGCGGTTGGCCTTTGCGGCTTACCTCCTGCGTGTCCCGGAGTTTGCCTCCATACTGGTTCCTTCTGTTCTGGACAGGTTGGGCTCCTTGTCGCCGTTTGGGCTCCTTTGTAGCCGTTTGGGCTCCTTGTAGCAGTTTGGGCTCCTTGTCGCCGTTTGGGCTCCTTTGTAGCCGTTTGGGCTCCTTGTAGCAGTTTGGGCTCCTTTGCGGCCGTTTGGGCTCCTTGTAGCAGTTTGGGCTCCTTGTAGCAGTTTGGGCTCCTTGTCGCCGTTTGGGCTCCTTTGTAGCCGTTTGGGCTCCTTTGTGGCCGTTTGGGCTCCTTTGTGGCCGTTTGGGCTCCTTGTAGCCGGTTGGGCTACTTTGCGCCTGGTTGGGCTACTTCTCGCCTGGTTGGGCTACTTCTCGCCTGGTTGGGCTACTTTCTTTCGCGTCCTGCGCATGCGCCGTGGGAATTTGTTTTGGTTCCGGGCGGTGTGCACACGTGTTCTGCTCCAATTCTCTCGGGGGGCTTCGCCTCTCGTTCTTTTCTTATTCCCATCCGTGCCCCGTTGCTTTGGGGGTGTTCTGGGGTGCCGCTGTGTGGAATTCATGAGGTTTTTCCCTGCATTCTAGGGTGGGGAGACTCCTTCGCTGCTCCCCTCGTCTCCAGCATGGGCGCACTGGCCGCCTCCGGCGGATACGGACTCGAACGCTTGCGTCATGGCCCTTCAGGGCCTATGTTCTGCAGGTGAGTTGGTGCGGTTTTGGCGTCTCCTCCGTCCTGACGCTGTTTTTGTTTTTGGAAGTAGGAATGGGTGTACATACGTACTTGAGAACGTGGACCGTATCACCCGAGGTGCCTACTGCAGGGCTATTAGCCCATACTGGGCAGCTCTTGTTCTCTCCACCTGATTCCTTCCTCGGTTCACGGGTGTCTGCAGGTGGCCTCTTGTCCCTTCCGAGGCGGTTCCTGCCTGTACTCCTCCTGCCCCTCTCCTATGCTTGTCTAACCTTGCTTGAGTTCGGGGCCCCGCCTCCACCTTGTTCCGCAGTGCAACGGTGGGGGTGCCTGTTTGGTAGTAAGTTTTCCTGTGTCGGAGGTTTTGTGTTCGCCTCCTTGTGTTTGCAGGTTGGGTTCTGGCTCTTTGTTTCCGCCTCTCCCCTGTCATTTGCCTGTCGGGTGGATTCTGTGCTTCTTGGGCACTCTCATCTCTGCTCTTGGGGCTGTGTATGGGGTCAGCCCATGTTGGGCTGCCTAATGTGTTCCTTTGATTGCCTGTTACACTGCACACGTTTCTTCTGCCGTCCCTGTGGCTCAGTTGGGTGCTCGGTTTCCGCCTATGTCCCCTTGTGTGCCACTCGTGTACGATTTATCTATCTTCTCTGTCACTTCCTCGGGGAGTGTGGTGACATTTTGCTGCGGTTTTGGTACTGCAGCTGCGTGTCGGGGTTGGTTGTGGCGTTATGTTCGGCCCTTCCATGCTCCCTCTGGGGCTCTCCTTCCTTGCCAGTCTTGCCGTGCAGGGCCTGATTTTTCCATGTTGCTTGGTTTCACTGTCTTGTCCTCACCTCATTGTGCTGGCTGGGGATGAGCTTGGGGTCTTCATCTTGCCCCTCGCCTATCCTTCGGTTTCGGTTCAAGTGCCAGAGCCTAGTGGGCTCCCTTCCTTCGTGTTTTTCATGGCTGCCCCGGGGTTTTCTTGACGCTGGGGCTTTGAGGGGACAGCTCGGTCCTGGGGCCTGCAGGGTGGGTTCCCGGGGCTGGGGTGGGGCTCACGTGAGAGGCCTCAGGCCCCGTTGGTCCCCGCCGGGGTGTTTCTAACCCTCTGGGGGGGGGACTTGCAGTTTTGTGGTGTGAGGTTTTTCCATTCCCCCTCTCCGCACGTGCTTTGTGGGCGTCGGCCCCTCCCTGGGCTTGGTTTCCTTGTCCGTTGTACCCGTTGTTTCCGTCCTGTCGGTGGGTGCTTTTCTACGATCTTCGCCCCTTTTTCCGGGACGGGCCTTCTTCCGTCATGTCCCCCTCTTCTTGGGGTTTCTGCATGACTTTTGGTCTCGGGTGCGACGGGGTTTTGGTGCCTTCGTCCTTTGTGTTTGCTTCTTTTTGTTCTCGAAGGTTCGGGACTGTTTTGCTCCTTCCCGTTTTGTGGTGCGTCTGTCGTCATTCGGTTGAGCTTCCCTCCGGTCCTTTCTAGGGCTTGTGGGTCCTCTTCCCAGCAGCTTCTGGGTGTTGGCCTTTTTCTTCTTTTGTGAATATCTCTTCTCTTCACACTGTCTTGGCACTCCTAGTTTTCCTGGTAGCGATTTTGCTCCTCATGAGTCTTTTCGCTCCTGCCCTTCTGCGGGATGTTGGTGCGGGGCGGCTCCTTCTGCGAGTTCCTTCCCTGTCAGCTGCACTTGTGGAGGTGGTCTTGCACACTTGTGGCATTTTCGTTTTGGTCCTGTGTTTTCTTTTCCCTCCTGGGGCTGTCATAGGATTGGCTTGCGGAGGATGTAGAGGCGCTTGGGGCCGTTCCAGGGTCTGGCACCTTGGTTTCTGCTGCTAGCTTTCAGTATCGATATTCCTTCTGCGCCATTTCGCAGGTTGTATCGTGCGTTGTTACACCTCCGGCCTGCTTATGCACTGTCTGTGTCGTCCTGGTCTTTGGACAGGGTGCTCTCCTGTTTTTCTTCTCCTTGGTGGTTGTGGCTCCTTGGGATCAGGTTTGCTTTGCCTCTGTTTTCTTTTTGTGTTGGCATTCGCCTCTGGGGGCCGTGTGGCAGAGCTTCTTGCTCTTCTCAGGCGCAGTGGTTTTTGGCTCCTATTGTCGCGATCATAGGTTTTCTTCGTCTGCGGCCGTTCTCCCTTTTTTCTGGCGAATGCTATACCTTGGGTTGTTGTCTCGACTTCGTGTTGTGGAGTGATTCTCCGACCGCCTCCCGGGTATGTCCCCTTGTTTTTTAGGTAGTCTTTGGTGAGGTAGCTCCGGGGAGCCGTAGGGGCTTCCCCCAGAAAACCAGCGTTGAATGCAATGAAACGCCATTTTCTGGGTGAGTCCCGGAGGCTCCCCGGCACCTCCCGCCCTCCGGTCGGCGGGTTTTTCACGGTTTTAATATCCAGCCTCAGAACTGGGGCAGGGATCGCCGGCGCGGGGGTCTGGGGCTCCCCCTTCCCCCTCCCGGGGAGGGGGGAGCTGCGCAGACATGCGGCGCGGCTCGCGTGACGTCATGCTTGTTAGTTCGTTTTTCCTGGGGGAGTTCTGTCCACTCGTTTGTCGATTTTTGTTGTTTAACCAGAATAGGTGTTTGTTTTGTGGAGCTTACCTTTCTGGGTGCCTGTCCCGGTCGATGGCAGATATAGAATGTTCCAAATCACATGTGCATTTCTATGGGCCATTGCTTCCCGTGCCTCTCTGAGGGGGCCAGGTTCTGGCTCGTGGTCCCCGGTAGGCCTAGAACTCCACCCACATCGACTGATGCAAAATAGTTAGGGTATCCATATCAGCCATGGATAGCTCCGGGGAGCCTCCGGGACTCACCCAGAAAATGGCGTTTCATTACATTCAATGCTGGTTTTTTAAATGATGACAGGTTGAAATAAGCAAGAATAGTTTTGTAACTTGGGATCGTGGCGGCAGCATGACTCTGGGTGACATAGCTAAACGTATGGAACCAAACCAGCTGTCAGCACTGAAGAATGAATGTGGAGGGTTACAAACACTCCTGAAGAATCACAAACACATTTTCAACATTTCGCGTGGAGTAGCTAATCTTCAGGTAAGATATTATCAATGGATTTCTTGTACTAATACAGTACTGTATATGGAAATGCAGGTAGTTTAAATTGGAATCTCTTAGATGCTCTGGAAAAAGCAGAGAAAGAACAACTTATATGCAACACTATTATAAATAATTGGTCCCTTTAGAAAACTGCTGAATATATTTAAAATAAAACTCCATGATTCATTTTCATTTTGAATTTAAGGGGTTTATGGAGAAGCCTTTGGTGGCTCACTGAACTTGTCTGCTGAGATGGCTCTCATCAAGTGAGTCACATGAGTCAGAGGAGTCCTGTATGGTTTACCTTGGACCAGAAGCTGGTACCTTCACAGAGGCACTGGGAGCTTGGCATCGTTACCATCACCCCTCACTGAGTAAACATCCAGAACATAAGTGAAGCAATACAGATTACTGCAAGTTTCACAGTAAACAGAGCACTAAAACAGCCAAACAACTCCAAAAAGGATTCTAACCCAAGTGATTCACTCGTAATGACTGACCAGTTGGGCCTGCATTCCTATTGGTTCAGTGTTATACTGTAGCCTGCGATGTTGGGGTTTACAGGTTCACTGTTTTTGTTTGACTGTTTTTCAGATTTTGTTTGTTTGTTTTTGTAGTAATGAAGCCTCCACAGACAGCTATCAGTTTGGGTTTATTTACCTGTTTTGTGTGTGGCTTTGTGCTAACGTGGTTGCCCCAGAGTTAGCCGGCTCTGTTTTAGGGGTTTTGATGTTATTTGATGTAGCTGGTATTTATGCTAGGGTGTTTTTCACTGCTGCAGCTCCTATTCTCCACCTACCTTCACTGGAACTCTTGGAATTTGTGGGCTTTTGGGTTGTTTCTGACAACCTGCGGTGGCGTTGGGTGGCCCCTCCTCCTTCGGGGGAGGAGCTTTCTATGGGCTACAGAAAATAATATGGTGTTTAACGAAGATAATTTCCAGCTCATGTGCTACGGAAAAAATGAAAATATAAAAACGAAAACCACGTACAAAACAATGCAAAGGATATGGGTGTACTCATGTCGGAAGACCTTACCTTTTAGAACACAATAACGTAGCCGTCACAACTGCAAGAAAAAGTACCGGTTGGATAACAAGAACCATTCACACTAGAGATGCTATACCAATGATGATACTTTTCAAGACGCTAGTGCTCTCTAGAGTGGAGTACTGCTGCACAATAACAGCCCCTTTCAATGCTGGAGAAATTGCTGACCTGGAGAGCGTGCAGAGATCCTTTACTGCTAGAATCCACTCAGTAAAACAACTAAACTATTGGGATTGACTAAAGAGCCAAATTTGTATTCTCTTGAGCGCAGGCGGGAGAGATACATAATAATTTACACATGGAAAATAGTAAAGGGGCTGGTCCCAAACCTGCACACAGAAATAACATCACATGAGACCAGAAGGCATGGCAGGATGTGCAGAATACCCCCGCTGAAGAGCAGAGGTGCAACAGGTACTCTGAGAGAGAACTCTATCAACATCAGAGGCCCGAGACTGTTCAACACGCTTCCACTACACATAAGGGGCATAACTGACCGACCCCTCACAGTGTTCAAGAGAGAACTTGACAAACATCTCCAAAGGATACCTAATCAACCAGGCTATGACTTATACGTCAGGCTGCGAGCAGCCGCGTCCAACAGCCTGGTTGACCAGTCCAGCAACGAGGAGGCCTGGTTGACGACCGGGCCGCGGGGTTGCTGAGCCCCAAAATCACCCGAGGGTAACCTCAAGGTAAGGTAAGGTTAGGGGTGTTATCGGAGCTCAACGAGAAATTGATATTTCATTATATTTAATGCCTGTTTTATGGCATCCTTTACATTTAAATATTATATTTTATTAAATAAAAAATTCTGTACTGTTATCCTCTATTTAATTTCATTTAAAAAATGAGAGTAGTGTATACCAAAACTATTGAAGCTTCTCAACTTCATATGGTAGAGATTAAGGTCAAGATGGGATACCTCAAGCCTAGCTTTCATCCTGTAACTCCACTCATATAATTGTACACATATGCATATTCACACGCACATTCACATTCATTCACATCTGTACACGTACACACATCGTTTCTTCCAGTTTTACATTATTTATTTTAGAAATATAGTAGTGGAGAGCAGGAAACTGTAACACTCCGACAAAACCCTTTGACAGTTTTCAGCCCTGAGGTGGTCCGGCTGTGGTATGGTGACTTGTATGCAAGATTTTGAAATGTCAAAATATAATGGTTATCATGCTGAATATTTTTTCTTCCAACAGATTCCAATACCAGTATGGAGAGCAAAAGTATCAAGTAGTCATATCAAGACTAAACTCTGCTGGTTTCACATCAACCACATTACAGGCTGCCCATTGCCCTCTCAAACATGTGTATATGCTCATGGCAATTCTGACTTGAAAGATGTTAGAGAGGTTCCTAGTAAATAATGTAACTACATTCTGTATATAAGAAGGGTAGCATTTTACTGTAATGGTCTTGCATAGGTAAATAACATTTCATAAAATTTGACCAGTTGTAAATTAATAAAAATAATCTTCTATAAGCCGAAGTATTAGAAAACCCTACTGCTATATATTTCATTATTGATGAGAATATTTTCCCCAACACTTAATTCTATGTGGGAAATGTATTCCCACACATCTTGAGTTTAAGCAGTCCATATAGAAATTGTTTAATCTTTTACGGAAAGCAAGTTTCACTCCAGAACTAAAAATTTAATACATAAAAGAATCAAAATTATATAATGTAATATAGTAGTAGTAGTAGTAGGCATCCTTCAGTCTCGGGAGATTATGAAGTTGTGCTCTGGTTGTCAATCCTGGTGCAGCGTCTGGTGTGACTGATAAGGCCAATCCAAGAATGGCAGTCCATCCCACACTGAGCACAAAGTCCGATTCTGGTCTGTCTTCCTGGCTACTGGCTATCCTCCTCTGTCTCTTTGCCTCCACTTTCTTGGCAAGTGACTCCTCGAACTTGGAAAGACCTTTTTGAACAGACTGCCCCCCGGCTGAAAGGTCAACGTAGCAAGATCGACGTCCATGGCTTTCAGGTCCTTCTTACATACGTCTTTGTACCGTAGCTGGGGCTTGCCTGTTGAATGCTTTCCCTGCATCAGCTCTCCATACAGGAGATCCTTGGGGATCCTGCCATCGCCCATTCGCACCACGTGCCAAGCCAGCACATTCGTCTCTGTTTCAGCATTGCGTACATGCTGGTGATTCTAGCTCTCCTCAGGACATTGTTGTTTGTCACCTTGTCCTGCCAGGTGATGTCCAAGATGTGTCGAAGGCAGCGCATGTGGTAGGCATTCCGCTGTCTTTACTGATGGGTGCGGAGTGTCCAAGACTCGCTGCCATAAAGGAGAGTGCTCAGGACACAGGCTCTGTAAACCTGAATCTTAGTATACTCAGCCTATTGTTGGCCCACACTCTCTTTGTCAGTCTGGACATGACAGTAGATGCCTTACTGATGCGTTTGTTTAGCTCCGTATCAAGAGAGAGTGAGTCAGAGACTGTGGAGCCCAGGTACACGAAGTCGTGAACGACTTCCAGTTTGGAATCGGAGATGCCGATGTCAGGTGGGGAGTCCACTCCTTGTCCCATGACCTGTGTTTTCTTCAGGCTGATGGTGAGTCCGAAAGCCTGACAGGCCTCGCTGAAGCAGGTCATGAGCCGTTGGAGGTCTTCGGTTGAGTGGGCAGTGACTGCTGCGTCATCGGCAAAAAGGAAGTCGCGCAGACACCTCAGCTGAACCTTCATCTTGGCTCTCAGCCTGGCGAGGTTAAAGAGCTTTCCATCCAACCTGGTCCAGAGGTAGATGCCTTCCATGGCAGATCCAAAGGCGTGCTGCAGCATAACTGCGAAGAAAGTCCCGAATAGGGTTGGAGCCAGGACGCAGCCCTGCTTTACTTCACTTCAGATGTCAAAGGTGTCTGATGTTAGGGCCATCAAAGACCACGGTGCCCTTCATGTTCTCATGGAAAGATATGATGATGCTGAGGAGCCTGGGTGGGCATCCGATCTTGGGGAGGATCTTGAATAGGCCATCCCTGCTGACGAGGTCGAAGGCCTTCGTCAGATCTATGAAGGCTACGAAGAGTGGCTGCTTCTGTTCCCTGCATTTCTCCTGCAGTTGTCTGAGGTAAAAGACCATGTCGATTGTGGACCTGTTAGCTCTGAATCCGCATTGTGATTCTGAATAGACGCTCTCTGCAAGTACTTGCAGCCTCTTCAATGTGACTCGAGCAAACAGCTTTCTGACAATGAAGGAGAAAACTCCACAGTAATTGTTGCAGTCGCCCATCACCTTTATTCTTATACAGCGTGATGATGTTGGCATCCCTCATGTCCTGTGGCACCTCTCCTTCTTCCCAGCAGAGGCAGAGAATTTCATGCAACTCCATGAGCAGGCTACTTCTGCAGCACTTCAAGGTCTCAGCAGGAATGCCGTCTTTGCCAGGAGCGAGGGAGTCTAGGGCCTCGCTGAGTTCTTTGAGGGTCGGTTCGCTGTCGAGCTCCATTAACACAGGCAGGCACTCAATGGTGCTCAGGGCGTCTTCGGTGACCACATTCTCCCTGGCGTATAGCTCATAGTGCTCGGCCCAGCACTTCAGCTGAAGTGTCTCGTCCTGAATCACCTCGCCAGTGGCAGATTTTAGAGGAGCGGTCTTCCTCTGGATTGGCCCGAGGGCCTACTTGATGCCGTCATACATTCCCCTTACATTGCCTGTATCCGCTGCAGTCTGTATCTGGGAGCAGAGCTGGAGCCAATAGTTGTTGGCACATCGCCTGGCACTCTGCTGCACTTTGCAGCGGACGACCCAAAGGATCTGTAAGTTGTGCTGACCTGGGCAGGCTTTGTAGGCTGCCAAGGCGTTTCTCTTCTCTTCGATGACAGGTGTCATCTCTTCCGAGTGAGCCTCGAAATAGTCTACCGACCTGCTGGTCTTCTTGTCAAAGGTAGACATGGCAGCATTGAATACAGCGTCTCTGAAGTGCTCCCATCTTTTACAGGCGGTGACCCCGGCTGGGCCAGGGAGAGCTTCCTCGAGCACACGTTCCAAATCTTCCACCTTGTCCTGGTTGCAGGTCTTGGTGGTGTCGATGCGAGGTCTGCCCTCCTTTTCCGAGTGATGAATTTTCTTTGTTTGCATCTTGACCCTGCTATACACCAAGGAGTGATTGGTGTCACAGACAGCACTCTGGTAGCTACGGTAATCTTGATGCGGGGTAGACTTGGACACCTGGTAAGAATTAGGTCAAGCTGGTGCCAGTGCTTGGATCTGGGGTGTCTCCAAGAGACTCGGTGTTGAGGCTTTGTGCCAAAGAACGTGTTGGTGACACAGAGACTATGAAGGCAGCAGAGTTCTAGCAGACATTGCCGGTTCTCATTCATCTTCCTTATGCCAAATTGACCCAGACAAGTGGGCCAAAAGTTGTGATTGGCACCCACTCTGGCGTTGAAGTCGCTGAGGATGAACAGTGACTCCTTTACAGGGATTCTCGCTATGACACTGTTGAGGTCATCGTAGAATTTTTCCTTTGCCTCTGCTGGAGAAGTCAGGGTTGGTGCATATGCACTAATTACATTGACTGGTCCTGTTTGGGAGTGTAGTTGCAGAGACAGAATTCGTTCGGTTTCCCCCGTCGGTGCCATAACGTGTCCCAACAGTGCATTCCTGATGGCAAATCCCACACCATGTTCTCTGGTCTCATCTGGAGGTTTTCTTTGCCAGAAGAAAGAGAAGGCCCTCCCTCCCTCTCTCTCTCTCTCTTTCTCACAGATACTGATCCAGGGAGCCTGGTCTCTTGGAGAGCAACAATATCCATCTGCAGTTTGCTCAGCTCCCTATTGATGATTGCTGTTTTTCAGGCGTCGTTGATTTCTTGCAGGTTGTCAGAGAAACCTGGTGTCAGTGTCCTGACGTTCCATGTGCCCAGCTTTAGGGCAGTTGATATTTTCTTTTTAGGTTTGGTATTGCTTGGTGCAAAGTTGTCGGGCTGCTTGTCGGTTTTCATCCTAAACCCCACGGACCCAGTGAAGTTAATGGACCGTGGCGAGGCAACACCTTATTGGCTGGGGTTTGCCCAGCTTGAGGCGGGAGGTAGCTGCCCAGTGGGATGCGATGACCCCTCCCACCGTTGGAAGCAATGCCTGGCATCGCACTCTTCGCCAATCGAGCAGAAGACTTAAGACCAGTAGACTGTCGCTTCCCATGTTGGTTCGACGCTGTGAGGCGAAGCTGGAGTGTCCTCTCCAGGGCGCAAAGCCCGGGTAGGTAGATATGGAGGAGAAGCTGTTACCCATGCAGGAGGTCTCTCCTCCCCACATTGCTGAAATTATCCAATGGAAAGGCAAATGCCAATACACATGGTTCCAGCACTGTCGCTGGAGCTGCCAGAACGAGGTCGAAGTCAACAATGAACTGCCTTAGGGGCTCCAACTCCGGATTTTTCCTCGAGGTTGACTCCTGAAGCCTTTTCCCAAAAAAAGGGTATGGCCGCAAGGCAGCGGAGGTTTAAAATCAGGGTTTTCCTTCCCCTAGATGGGCTGCCTTCCCAGGCTATCGAGTCCCATCTACCCGGAATGTAATATAAAATCTACCCATCTACATGGAATACAATATAAAAGCAGTTAATTTCTGTGTAAAGCAAAGAAAATTGTGGTGTTTTAAGCATCTGGTGTAACACCTACTTTTAACAACCCATCCTCTTTTGTAGTACATATAGTGACAATAAGGACCATAGTACATATACCGATCTTCAACTCAATTGGAAAGTAGAAATTGAAAATATTGAATTTGGACAGACCAAAAAGATTTTCTATTTGTTGTAAAGACAAACTAACCTAACCTAACCTTTCTAGGCCTAATACACACTATCTGATGACTAATATAGTACACATGTATGGTATACTAGGCCTTGGAATATATAAGTTTAATATTTTTTAGCTTCATTTTTTTCAGACTATAATTCTACTATCTACAAAATTCTACTATTTAATTGCTTAGTATGTCAATATTTGTGCTATGATGCACATAGTTACAAAAAAGTACTATCTAAACAGAAGGATGGGTTGACTTTCTGCTTTCTCTCTCCAAAGGGTGAGAAAAAAAAAAAGTGTTGAAAGTCATGTTTTTCTGAGAAAGGCCATTGTGGCTTGCTGAAGCTAAATGCAGTCACATCAACTATAGCGTTCTAGAGGCCTTCTATGGACCAGACCCAGAATCCAGACCTCTCCCCTCACACAGGCACAGGGAGCGGTGACATTTATTTTCCCCGCATCACTGGGAAGGCAACCAGAAAGTCAGTGAGTTAAACTACTGCTGGAGTCAGGAACAGACTAACACCTCAGAACTGGCCAAAATAATTTCCCCCAGCTATGTAAACTAACGATCAAGCTCTCGGAACTAGTGTGAGCTCATTCACTTCACCTTTCCAACTTATTTGGGGGAGGGGGGGGGTGAGGGAGCTCACCACCTGCTAGGTGGTGAGCTCCACCTCTTACAAACATTCCAATTCTCCAAGTTATGTGTCCAAACAT